CAAGGGTACCTGCATAATCAGCGTTTGTATACCTAATTCTGAATTGTATTACACATCTTTGCAGTAATAATAATAAAAAGCGAAAAGACAAAAAAAAAGATGTGGCAATTCTTAAAAGAACCAGAAACTGAACTTCCATATGACCCAGCATAACTTTAATTCCCCTTCTGGGAATATACCCAGAGTAACTTTAATCACTCTACAAAAAAGATACCAGTACATACATGTTTATTGCAGCACTATTTACAATAACAAAAACATGGAACCAACCTCACTGCCCATTGAAACTGGACTGGATAAAAATAATATGAAACATATACAAGATGGAATATTATAAAGCCATAAAGAATAATAAAATTAATAAACATCTCAGCACTTGAATGGATTTAGAGTCTGTCATACTCAGTGATCTATCACAGATACAAAGAACTGAGTACCACATGTTCCCACTCATGTGTGTACCCTGAACACTTACCATAATCAATAAGAAAGAGATTGGCAGTAGCTGGACACTGCCAGGGGACTTGGGGTGCACATAATATCTATCAGGGTACCTGACCTCAAACCAGGCAAAGTGGGGATGAAAGAAAAGCCCAAACTTTACCCGTACAATGACCACTTGTATACTTAATTCTGAATTGTACCCACATCTTTAATATTTAAAAAATTAAATTAAATTAAAAGGAATTAGAACTCTCAGCAATAAATAAATAAAATCACTCAGTCAGAAGAGAAAATGAAAAGAATGATAACGAATGAAATAAGCTTAGAGGGTCAAAAATACAAAATGAGTAAAAAGATAGTTTGTTCAATAAATGATGTTGGAAAAACCAAGTATCCACATGCAAAACAATGAAATTTTACCTTTCCCTTATACAGCACACAAAAGTCAATTTGAAGTGTGTTAAAAACGTAAACTGAACACCAGAAACCATGGAATTCCTAGAAGAAAACACAGGGAAAAACTGTTTGAAATGGATCTTGGCAATGAATTTATGGATATGACACACCAGAAGCACAGCAACAAAATACAAAAAAAAAAAAAAAAACTGGGACCACATCAATCTAACGTCCTGCACAGCAATTAAATGGATCAAGAAAATAAAAATGCAACTTATAAAATGGAAGAAAATATCTGCAATCGATATATTTGATAAATCAATATCCAAAATAGTTAAATAACTCATACAATCTGATTGCAAACAAAACAAAACTCAACCGATTTTAAAATAAGCAAAAGAAACAAATTAACATTTTTCCAAGGAAGACATACAACTGGCTAACAGATATATGGAAAGGTATACAACTTCACCAATCATTAGGAAAATGCATGTGAAAACCACAGGGAGATCTCACCTAATTCCTGTTAGAATAGCTATTTTAAAAAAAAGTTGTCATGTGTTGGCAACGGTGTTGAGAAAATGACACCCTGGTGCACTATTGGTAGAAATGTATATTGGTAGAACCATTATGAAAAACTGTATGTACTCATATGTGGACCCTGAACAATTACCATAGTACTTTAAGAAAAGAATTGGCTGTAGCAGAATACTACTGGGGAAGGTTGTGGGGGTGGGGGACACAACATCAGTGACAGTACCTGATCTCAAACCATGCAAAGTGGGGACCAAAGGGAGGCCCATACTATACTTGTACGATGACCACTTGCATACGTAATACTGAATTGTACACCACATATTTAATTTTAAAAAAAAATACAATAGAAAAGAAGAAAAAAAACCAGTATGGAGATTCCTAAAAAACTTACTATAAGGGTAGATCCTAAGTATTTAGGCCACACACACAGAAATGAAAACTCTGTAAGGTAATAATGAATACGTAAATTCTCTTGATTGTGGTGAATATATCTTTGTGGTACATTTTAGTTATGTACATTAAAAATTCTCAAAGCAGATAAAATGTGTGAATTGCTTAGGTGAGACTTAAGATCACTCACACCTTAACTCAGCAATGAAGTTAATCTATGTCATATTAAGGGGCACTATCTCTTGCCCTATTTTTGTTTTCCAGTATTAAAGAGAATCCCTTTAACTATTACAGTGGATATAATTAACAGTATATAAAAAGTGCTCAGAAATAAGACTATAATGCTGGAAATTTTTAATTTTTTTATATTTTTTATTTTTAAAATTTAAAAATGTTATATATCTTTAGTAAATACAATCAAGAAGACAAAAATACATAAGCATGAATGTATATATTGGCAATCACAAAATCACCTTTGTGATCTTTGAAAAAAAACCAGTTGCATACATGTTCTCACTCATAAGTGGACCCTGAACATTTATCATAATACTGCATGAAAGGGATTGCCAGTAGCAAGACATTGCCAGGAGGAAGTGGGGACATATAACATACCATCAATAAGAGTACTTGATCCCAAACCAGGTGAAGACAAAGCCAATGGGAGGTCCAAACTTCACCTATACGATGACCACCTATATACCTAATCCTGAATTATACCCCACATCTTTTAAAAAACACATTGATAAATAGAATAAAATGTATTTTTATTAGCATTTATGCATTTTCAATACACACAAATGCTAGGTAAAACAATAATATACAGATTTTTACTTCTAGAGACAGTATTATATTTAAAATTCTAAGGAAAAATGTTCAGAGAAAACAGTGGTACAAATCTGTAATTGTACGAATCAACCACACAATTAAATAAATGCAGAAGAAACGCTGTAGGAAATGAACAATGTAAAATGAAATCTGAATAAATACAGAGAAACCAGTCTCCTGACTCAATATTTTAAATAATTTTATCAAAAAAATGTATATTTTATAACCAGATGCTAACATTCTCAAATGTCCTACACTGATTAAAAAGAAAAAAACAAAGACAGAGAAACGATGTTGATCATAATAGTAGAAATAGCCTTATCAAATATTTAAAATTACAAATAGGAATTTGTTCTGTGAACCAAGAACATTAAACAGACAACCTAGAAAATATGAAGTATTTGGTAGGTAGATAGGTAAATAAATAGATGCAGAGATAGTAAAGGTTTTAGATCTATTAATTTAAAACAAGAGCATTGGAAGCATGTAAGTGTAAAAGTCATTTAAAACAGTATTTTTAGAGAAATGAATTCAAAAGATGTAGAAAGAAAGTTTATTAAATACATAGTGTTAAAATATTTTGAAACATAGTTGGAAAAATAGTCAATTTCCACTGGATGTCATTTAGAAAAAAAATATGAACTGGCATGTGCATATACAACTGATATGTAGTAGATTAAGCACATGGGAACATGCATTTTTTAAAATAATAAATTGATAAAAATACTAAGCAATGGGCACATATACACAATGGAATATTATGTAGCCATAATATTCCAAACAGATGGACTTCGCAGCAACTTGGATGGATTTTGAGTTGTCTTACTCAGTGACCTATCACAGAAACAAAGAATAGAGTACCTTATATTCTCAGTCATAAGCAGACCTTGAACAATGATCAGAATACTATAAGAAACGGATTGGCAGTAATGAGAAACTGCCAGGGAGGGATGGGATTGGCAGTTGAGGGAAGCTGCCAAGGGAGAGAGGGGCACACCTCATCAACAAGGGTACCTGCTATTGAACACTTGTATACCCAACCCTGAATTGTACCCCACATCTTTAAAATAAAAAAACTATAAGAAAGGGTTTGGCAGTAGTGGAAAACTGCCAGAGAAGTGGGGGTGGGATTGGCAGTTGAGGGAAACTGCCAGGGGAGGGAGGGGCACACCTCATAACAAGGACACAACTAGAGTATAATGAGAAAATGTAATTTCATACAAATCAACAAATCCAAATGAGATAAAGAGAAAACTGGCCAATAAAATCATAGACAAATTGTACAAATAAATTTGATTTATACTAAGCTTAATTAAATTAGCAGGAGTGAGAAAAACAGAATTATGGTAAATAATGGAGACAAGACTATATTACTGCATCCTAGACCAACTGTCATCATGGGTCCCATATGACCTTTAAGAGCTGCAATCGTCCATGAGAAAATGAAGACTTTTTATTTTTACAAAAGTGATTTCTAAGGAGGTCAAGTTAGGCACTAAATGAGGTACATCTTGCTTTCCGGCATAACGGCAAGAAAATTCCCACTCCACAGTGCTTGTGTCTGCGATCTTAGCAGTCAGAACAAACCAAGCTTTCACTGCTTCAATACTGAGTGAACTGTTTTTGTTGTTTTTTTTTAAGAAAGTTGTGGCTTTATGCCCCTACTGGATTTGGAGCAGGTGCAAAACCTTAGGTACTAACAAAGCACTTTTCAATGTGGTTAAGTGACAGAGGTGCATTTATCAGACATTAACACTTTTTTGTCCCTAATTATCCCAGCTCCTCAATCCTTGACAACTCTTAGTCACTTTTTGTACAAAGAAGATTTCTGTTTCTCTAAGTGGAATATATAGCTTACCTTTCTCACACAGATTTTAGAAATTGTCTGTAGATATTAAATTGTTGGTACAATAAACTGTATCCTGTCACCCAGAGCTCATAAGAAAGTAGGGAAAGGTGTACAATTTTGTCCTCATCACAGAGAGCTTTTAGAGACATAGTGTCACTGCCAATCAAAGCACAAAATACCACCACCACAGATATTTAACATGTCCTGAGTAGCAATTTGTGTCAGATAGCAGGTGTATAAGCAGGAACTGAACATACCATTACCCTTTTACAAGTAGGAGAAATAAGAGTGTGAATTTTGATGTATTTATTCTAAAAGAGTGCTTGAGAAGATGCTATGATATGGAAGCTAGACAAGAATGTCAGGCAGCCTAAGACAGGTAGGCTGGCATGATTCTATGTCTCAGAAATCCAACACCCGTGTCTCATTTTTGTTTCATCTTTTTTCTATGTTCAGGTTTTGCTCTAAGGGAAATATATTGTATTTTCACATCATATTTTTGTGACAGACAATATATTAATCTAAGAATAGTGGATTATACATGAAAAGGTCTACTTACCAAATGCCATTACTTCCTGGAGCAGTAGCTGCCATGGTCACAGTCTGAGCACCTGTGCAAAAGGGTGAGATAAATGTTTGAGACACCATGAGCTCATCTCCTTGCTGAAAACTAATTATTTCATCAGTAAGTACAGTGACAATATGTGCATGGGGATTTGAGAGGGGCTCAGAAAAACATTTATATTATGTTTAAATTACTGACAAGTAATTAGTAGCTATTAGGTTTTCGTTGTTACTGTTGTTTTTTGTTTTTGAGTCAGAGTCTCACTCTGTCACCCAGGCTGGAGTGCCAAGTAGCTATTAGTTTTAATCAACTGAGTAAGTTTGAGCAACAGAGAAACAAAAGGAAAGAGAGATAAAGATATAGACAGAAAAAGACAGGCAAATTTAGAGAGAGAGAGACATGCAGAGGAAAGCATATCTGAGATGCTTGAAGGAAATCAGTTGAAAATCACATGACAGACAGACTTGGGTTCTACGATGTGAGAAAAGATCAGTGGAAAGTATCCTTTGTGTCTTGCTAATCTTAGAGTTTTGACTTACAAGTTGTGTCATTTTTTAAAATTCGAGTAACTTTGTACAAAAGGCAGTTGGGAAGAAACAAAAAAGAAAGACTCAAATGAAAAGAATTTTCTCAGCCGGGCTCGGTGGCTCAGCCTGTCATCCCGCGCCTTTGGGAGGCTGAGGTGAGTGGACTGCCTGAGCCCGCGGTTTCGAGACCCTCCTGGGCAGCGAGACCTCATCTCTACAATAAATCAAAAAATCAGCCGGGTGTGGTAGCGCATGCCTGTAATTCCGGCTACTTGGAAGGCTGAAGCGGAAGGAACGCCGGAGCCCAGCAGGTCGAGGCTGCGGTGGCCGGAAGCGGCCACTGCACTCCAGTCTGGGCGACAGAGTGAGACTCCAACTCAAAAAAAAAAAAAAAAAAATTTTCTCCATTGTACGAAATATACTTGGAGGAAGTTGGCAAACTTTTATTCACTGTTTTCATAGGCACATGTTCATTGTCTAATGTGTGTCAGACATGATTCCTGGTATATAGTATTTATCAGGAAAAACAAAGTAGAGACTTATACAGAACCTGCCTATATTGGGTCTATATTCTAGTCAACAAAGAGAGACATTATGTAACATTAAATAATAAGTATAATATGTAATATGTTATGAAATAATAAGAGTTTTGTGAGTAAAATAAAGAAATGGTGATCATCCCTGAGAAAGAAGAAATTTTGCCAGCAGATTGACTTTGATCTGAGACTACTATTTTTCTCTGAGTCTCCAGGATGCTGACCTGTCCTCTAGATTTTGGGCTCACTAAGCCCCTACAATCATGTTAGTCAATTTCTGGAGAAATACAGAGGTGGGTATATAGATAAATAGGCAGATGATAGATATATGATATAGATAGATAGATAGATAGACAGACAGACAGATAGATAGATAGATAGATAGATATAGATAAACATACTGTTAAGTTTCTCTGTAGAACCATTAAAGTTAACTCAAACCATTGAGTTAAAATAAAGACCAGATATTTTTGACACTATGCTTTGTACACCAACCAAAATTCATACTGTTCCTATTTCTCCCAGCATTCCTCAAAGGGACTGATGGCCTTTTTCCAGAGCAAATATGACACTGACACTAAACTGATACTAATTCCAGGAATCTAAAATATTGCTGTGACCCTCTAGTCTGAATAAGGGCTTATGGTGGTCACATGATTAGTGGGGTTTGAGCCCAGATCTCTCTCATAGTGAATTCAGTATACCTCAAACCCATTCTATAGCTGTATGCCTATATCTGAAATGCACAATTGGATTAGATATACCCCCAAACTACCAGAATTTCCACACTGGTTTTCTGACTTGTGGTGTGAGGGCCAGCGTGGTGGGAAAGGCTGAATATGGGCCATTATCACCTACTCTGCTTAAAAACAGTATACCAGAAACCATACTGCATTCCTGGATACATTGCAGAGGTGAGGGCCACCATAAAGAATGAATGATGCAAAGGTGATAGTTCTCACGACATCCTCATTTAACGTTCTTATTTGGCCGGTGCAGAAGACAGATGAATCTTGAATAATGGCAGTGGACTATAGGAATCAAGCCTGGTGTTGACTTTAAATGCAGCTGCTAGACCAAATGTAAATGTGACATCATCATTTGAGCAAGTTAATACATCCCCTGGTACCCAGTACTAATTTGCAAACACATTTTTCTCCACAACTGTTTTTTGTTTGTTTGTTTTAGTAAGAATCTCACCTATCATCCAGGTTGGAGTGCAGAGGCAAAAATCACAGCTCACCACATTCTTGACCTACTGGACTTACCTGAGCCTACCACCTCAGCCACCTTGGTAGTTGGGACTACAGGTGCACACCACTACGCCAGGATCATTTATTTTATTTTATTTTATTTTTCATTGAGTCATGTTCTTGCTAAGTTACTTGGGCTGGTCTCAAACACCTGGGCTCAAGCAATCCTCATTCCTTGGCCTCCCAGAGCGCCAGGATTGCAGACATGAGCCACAGTGCCTGGCATCTCCATGACTGTTAATAAAGACCACCGGAAACTTGTACCTTTCACCCAGCATAGCCAGCAGTGCAACTTCCCTGACCTACCGTAGGGGTACATCAACTCTCCAACCCTGTGTCATAATGGAGTTAACAGAAAACTTGATCACCATTCCCTTCCACAAGATATCAGACTGATCCATTATATCAATGACTTTGTGGTGATAGGATATAGGGAGAAAATTTTAATATCAACTCCAGATTTATGGCAACAAATGCCCAATAATACTGAAGCATTTCACCTCGGTCACATTTTTAGTGTCTACTGGTGTGGGCATGTTGAGATGTTTCCTATGAGGTGAAAAATATGTGATTGTATTTGTCCCTACCTACAACCAATAAAGATACATAATACTTACCATAATGCTCTTTGGATTGTGAAGACAAAATATTCTTCACTTGGGTGTGCTACATCTGCCCATTTACCAAATAACCCAAAAAGTTTTGATTGGGGCCCAGAGCAGAGGAAGAATTGCAACAGATCCAAGCTGCTGTACAAGTCTCTCTGCCACCTGGACCATGTGATCAAGCAGACCTGATGATGCTTGAAGTGTCTGTGGCTGATAGAGTTGCTGTTTGGCCAATCATGTTGATTCACACCTGTAATCCCAGCAATCTGGGAGGCCAAGGCAGGAGGATTGCTTGAGCCTAGGAGTTCAAGACCTAGGCTTGAACTGGGCAACATAGCCAGATCTCATCTTTACAAAAAGAAATTTTTAATTTACCCATGTGTAATGACGCTCACCTGTCATTCCAGTTACTCAGGAGGCTGAGATGGAAGGATAGCCTGTGCCTAGGAGATCAAGGGTGCAGTGGGCCATGATGGTGCCACTGTATTCCAGCTTAGGTGACAAAATGAGACCCTGACTCAGAGACAAATAGAAAGGGAGAGGGAGAAGGCGAGAGAATGAGAATGAGAGAGAGAGAGAGACTGTATCTGGAAGATTTGGCAGGCCCATATAGGTGAATTGCAGCATGAGTACTTAGGATTTGGGAGCAAAGCCCTATCATCCTTCACAGATAACTTCTCTTTCTCTCTCTCTATCTCTCTCTCTCTCTCTCTCTCTCTCTCTCTCTCTCTCTCTGTCTGTCTCTCTCTCACTCACTCTCTCTCTCTCTCTCTCTCAAAAGTTTTGCTCTGTTGCTGAACCTTAGTAGATGCTAAATGCTTCAGAAATTTTTGCTCTTTACTGAGCCAGTGTCATACCTTTACAATATAAATATTTAACACTAGTTATAAAATCCAGCAGAGGAAACAGCAGAAAACAATGCACTTTGGGGATCTAATTTGGAGTTCCATTCACACAGAGAAACTGGAGAGAAGCTTAATGGCCTGAAAGCTATGGAAGAGGTGGATGGTGCTGAGGGAAATCCCTTTGGCCACTCTGTGTAATTAGAATACAAGTTTATATCCAACCTCATCCAGGAAAGATTTGAGTCCAAAAGCTGACTTTGTCTGGGGGATCCCCCTAGAGAAAAGGACCAAGTTGTTACCCAAGAGCAGAATCAAGTCTCTGGGGCTCAATATCTGTACAATGATAAATTCAAAGTTATAAAAGTAAAGTAGTAAAGAATTTCTAAGGATCTGAGCGCAAGTCTGAATGAGAATTGTAATTCCCCAGTTTAAATGAACAAACGAAATTTATCCATTTAGAGAAGTTCTTGGAATTTGATTTTATTTAAATTAGAGGAACCTGGAAACAAACAAAGATAATTGTTGTGTCTAGAAATTGTCTTAAATTTTAAAAAATTAATCCAAGTGAATACAGCATTACGAAGAGGTTTTGTAAAAACAAAGCTGTTTCTTGCAGAATTATTATTTGTAACACCACACTAAATATCACCCAGTCCCAATCAAAGATAGTGGAGCACTGGGTAACAGTGGATGTGATGAGGATGTGCTCCTGATGGCTGATCCATCACAACATTCAGTTATAGTGGTGGGGGGAGAGGAAAGCAAAAGAAATATTCAGAACATCATGCAAAATTAGCGCTATGTGAAGCACAAGAGATAAATAGTATATTGATATGTCTGTGGGTGTATTTATATTTTGCTATTTTAAAAATAAAAGAATAAATTAGAGCTTTTAAAAGTGAGTACTTGGCCAGGTGCAGGGGCTCAGGCCATTATTCCTAACACTTTGATAGACCAAGGCAGGAGGATCACTTGAGTTCAGAATTTCGATCCCAGCCTGGGCAACATAGTAAAACCTCATCTCTATTAAGAAAAATCAAACTAATTCAAATAAAAATAATAATAAAAGTGGATACTTGTGAGGAGGAGAAAAAAAAACAGAAAAGATAAATGAAGCTAGATTGGTCTGTTTGTGTCTTGTTTGTTTTACTGGTTTGGAAATATGCACAGTATATTTGGAAATATACTGGTTTGGAAGTATAATTGTGCATATTTATCATGCAGGAAGACATGGGGAGTCATGAGGTGGCTTTGAGATTACATGTGATTTGGTGTCA